TTTGTACACCATTTTTTTTCTTATAGGTCACCTGCCACAGTGGCTGGCAGATAAGGCAAAAATACTAGCCTCTACCCAGAAAGCACCAGAATTACCAGTACCAGCCCAAAATTGAAACCCAATCTCACAGGTTCATCTTGAGGCATATCTTTAGAGGATGGACTATGAATCCCTGTTAATAATCTCGGAAGCTCAGGGAGTCTTTATTGTCTGGTGGACGGTCCCACAAGGGGAAACAACTCAGCATGGTGGGCTAGTCTTTACTTAGAGTAATTTCTGAGGTAGCTGAGGTAGAGATGGTCTTTGTTTTAAGGTGCCGTTAGTTGGGCCGGAGTGTGAGAGAGTTGGCTGAGGGGTAAATAAAGAGGGATTGAAGGGGTGGGGTTCTGCTGAAAGGCAGCAAACCTTCCCTAATTGGCACTTGACATTTTTTTTGCTGTGGCTGGATAAAGTGGACCCTCTCTCAAGACCACTCCAAACGCTTGCTGGAAAAGTGCCTTATGCAAATACTGCAAATAAGAACCATTGTCAGGCCTCTGACATTAACAGCTGAGGTAACAATAGGACTGTGTGCTTTCAGTGGACATGTAGGTGTGTTGAAGAGAGCGCAGGACAATGTGGCAGAGAGTGGACAGCATGTGAAAAGCCATCCAAATGATGCTTCAGTGGGGAAAAAAAAAAGTCATTTCACCAGAGCGAGTACTAGTTCGCCATGCCAAGCTTTCAACAGAATGGCCCATTAAAATTGGACAATCAAGCAGATGCATGATTTTACAACATCTGAATATTTGTTTTCTTCAACTGCTCCTCCAATAACACATAGCTTGAATCTATGAGTGTAAATAATTCATATAGCAGCGTTCTGTATTATTATTCAACTATTTTCAGACACGGTCTAAACACGAACCCATTGTGCAATTACCCATTCATTCCTTTAGACTAAATTTGAATGTCTAAACGAGAACGGTGTCTTCTTGTCGCCGTACAGTATGTGTGATGAATCAGCCTTTCATGTAGTCAGGACAGCGTTTGGCCACACCTGTTACTGCTGAGTATTTAATCCCCTTTGTGTGTGTGGGCCCATTGACTTCTCTAACAGCCCAAAGGGAATTCACAGTTCTTTGGGGCGACGTTAGGGCAGGAGGGGGTCAGAGAGAACGGCATCTATTCCTCAGTTTCCTCTCCAGCAGTGCAGCCATTTTGGGGCTCTGTTGGTGAGTTCCGTCCAAAGAAAGAGAAGCATTGCCGGGGGCAGGAATCAGAGCGGCGCTCACCAATAGCAGCCTGGCTGATGTGACTGGGACGCTGTCAAAAGGTTGGTAAAGGAATCCATTGTCTCTGGGACAAGTGGACTGGCTCTATTGACAGTACAGTTGACGGGAGAGTGGAGGAGGGTGGTAAAGATAAGGGCACAATGCCTGGTTTTCTAGTTGACACTTGAAGTTCGAAATGCTAAGTGCAAGAAAACTGCCATTCGGGCTTTTCCTTTCTGTTCCTCTGTTCCCTGCTCTCCAGACAAACTGAGAGGAGACCGTTCTGAGTTTGATTAGAAGCCAGCAGCAATGGCTTTCATTATACCTCACACGCCTTGACGTGTCCAACTTGAATGCTACCTGCAAACTTCACGCTGAACAGTCAAGGTATGCTAACCATTCAAGTAAGTTGCCAAGAAGCATCACATAAATATTATTAACAAATACTTGAATAATGTACTCTGAGATATTTATTTTATTCCACTTTTAAGGACATTTTGTAATTGACTGTGGTTTAGTGCTTATTGTAACTATGCCAAGATGGATGTTTCACTGCTAAGCTGGTGTAAAAGAGGCAACAAGGAAAACGGATAATGACCAAGTGATGCAAATCAAGTCAAATCAAGACAATGATGATTGATATGATCTGCTACATACAGGTAAGTTGCAGTTTAGGTCTTTTTGATAATAAATGCATTAATACCAGGAAAGCAGGCAAAATCAGGACAAAACAAGTTATTGCAAACCTTCAACAGTTTTGGAATTGCAACAAAACTCTAAAGCTGCCTTTTTACTAACTCTGACAAACAATAGACCAAAAGTCATTAATCTCCAATGGAGTGTAGCATTAGAGCTGCGTGAAGTTCTGATCATATGTGAATACAGAATTTTCTGATCTGATTTGAGCTTCAGTTGTGTTGAAATATTTGAAGTTTTTTGGCTATACCAAATGCAACCACCAGACTGGATTCGATGTAGGCCTACAGTATTCTAATCAAAACTATGAGTGTGAGATGAGAATTCTGAATATTTTTGCACTAAAACATTATTCTTTAAAAACTATTTCTCTAAAATGGGCAGTTATGAATAATTGTCAAAAATTATTCGTTTATAATTAACTAATTAATCATGTTGATTAGCCCTAGAAAACCTACCAAGGCTTTTTTTTTTTTCAAATGTATTGATGTCAATTGTTTTGTGTGGATATATTTGAAAATGTATTATTCATTAGTTTTACCATAGTGAATAAGCGGCGGATAACGACTGCTTCACAACCAGTTTGAATGTTTTATAGGACTGCCATTAGTAAATGCAATGTGACAATCCTAAACAAATGGCAGCTTTTGTCAGTGATTTCAATAAATTAGTTCGAAACCAGTCCGAAACATTGGAGGACATGATCTAGTCAATGCTAATGTGCATGTAGAGTTTTTGTAGCACATGTAGCACACACTTGATCAGTCTGCCTCAATCTCATTTATCTAATCAGTGACAACATTCAAACTCTATTTATCTTTTGCTCGGAGAGATGTACGGTTTAATCCCTGTACCTGCAATGCAGCAGCACTATCTGTGGCTACAGCAGTAATGCAGCACCTCACCACATAGATTCCATTTTCAACCTCTAAAATGTACCTGGTAATAAATAGCATTACTAAATCAGAAGTTTGAATACTCTGTGATCTGTTAATTCCAGATGAGATCCTTTAAATCTCATTTAACATGTCCAAAGGTGCAATGATCTGGTGGCTGATGTCCATCCACTGATCACAAGCATAATAGTGAAGCGGAATTATGGTTTTGGCCTCCTAATGGCCAAAGACTGTTCAAGTTCAGCTGCTGAACCCAAAGACCTGTATTCAGGACCATCTCAACAAGCTTTGCCACTTAGAAAGTGGCCATCCCCGGAGCTGGCTCCATCCCAGCCCCATTTATATCCCAGCCAACTGTCACATCCAATCAAGAACCTCTCAGCACAAACTTAACAAAATCGAGTTCAGACAATTGTCGTTTGTTTCTCAGCGCTGGCTCAAGGTCCGAATGCATCCGAAGCTTAGAATAGCAGCCAAATTTGTGTGGGAACGCTTTAGCCCCTTTAATTATTCAAACACATGAGTTGAATTGAGCGAGTCCGGGTTGGTATTGAAAAAGACAATGGGGTCTCAACTCACCAACCTTGTTGAACAAAGGTAACGAGTGAATAAGCTTTGTGCGTTTGCTGCAGACTAATACTGCGGAAAGCACCGGACTGGGTGTTAGACAGGCACCCGTGGGTGATAGTCATGTGGCCCTAGTGTTAAGCCTCGGCCTGCTGCTCTGTGCTTTGAGACTAGTAGTTTACAGATTAAACATGATCATGTTTGACCAACCCACCACTGCCCTGAATGTTCGCATAAACCAGGTTTTATCCATACAAATCCGCAGTTTTTGTGTATTAGAATTTCAGATTCTCATTCTACAAAAGAACCTACATTTAATCAGTGCATCCTGCTGATATTTGTTCGGCATTACTTTCATTCTATGCATTAATTAAAATGAAAGGTGTTGCCTACTGGCGTGAATGTGCATTTTTCCTGTTCCTCTTAATTTTTCTGTGTTTACAATGTGTCTATGAATTGAACATCCCATTTATTTGTCTAATACTAGGCAGGTCTAGTCCCTGAGTAATGCATTTTATATCAAAAGACATTGCAGTTGAGTTTGAAAATTTCACATCTGCTCTTATGATTTGTTTGCTTTCATTTTTCATGCACATAATTCATGCACATTGCACATAAGTATGACAAATATGAACAAGCTCCATAACAGGCTTCTCAGAAAAAAAAATGATGTTTTGTACTTGCATATTCCTTTAGTTCTAGGTTAACACACCTTTTACAATCGCATTAACACCAACCCAGAGTGGAAACACTATTTTTACATGCATTATAAAGGAGGGTAATGACAAGGATTGGGCATTACGAGGAAAGATGATGCTGCATAATACTTTATATGAGAAGGGGGAACAATCATTGCTTGTTTGTTGAACAAAAAAATAACCGTTTAAGAAAAAAATGCTGTTTACCTTCTCTATCAGCAGTGATGGAGGCCATTTTGTGATGCAGAGATTGAGGAGGAGAGAGAGTGCGGGAGACTTAGGAGGGAGAAGAGGAGAGGAGAGGAGTACAGATCTCAAGGTGGGGTGATGCCTTTCAGGTGTGTAATGGGATTCTTGTTACTTTCGGTTATCTAGCTTTATGAAGAATGAATAACACTCATACAGCTAGATAACCAAAGATAACAGCCAACCCCTCCGGCCACCCGTCCTCTTCCACCATATGAAAAACCCAACCAGGGTTGAACTGGGACCTGAAAAGAGAAGAATTTTTTTTATTAATTTTGTAATTAGGCCTGGATTGAAGTCAACTGTATTTAGTATTGAACACTAGTGTTAATTAAACCTGATGTGTTTAACACAAGTCATTCATTAATGATCATGACTGTGCTAGGGGTGTCTTGCTTATAGACTTCTAATTATTTCTCAGACATCTCCTTTCAAAGCTGACTGGTTAAAACTTGCTAGTATAAACTTGGCTATGAGTTCACCAGTCTGTTAATCCAGTCTGGACTGGTTTTTAGAGATGCAAGGGGTTCATTCACTGCTTGTTGTCTCTGTCTTACATTGCAAGCTGATCATTCTCTTCCTGGGTGAGAGATGGCTTCAAACGCATCCCGCAAAGGCTGGGATTTATTTTTAAATGGGGAAAAAAGACCCTGACTGTGCTGATGGAAAAAAGCAAAAAGAATAGTAACACTGGTTGTTTTAGTTTTCCGCAAATTTACCCTCAAGTCGCTGTTGTTTGTGTTTCAAAAGCCTGTCTTTCAGTAAGTGGCAGAATCATGAGGTTTCTCTCTCTCTTTCTCACGACTCTCAGTCAATCAGATTTTATGCAAATAAAAGAGGAGCTAGTCCAATTAAAAGCCTTTGTGTGAGAGGAGCCCCTCCCCGTACACTCTCAGAGGTGTTGCAATCAAAGAGAAGAGAGGGAGAGGGAGAGAGACTGTCATCACTTATTACAGCCTTTCAAGCCTAGTGAAAATGGCCACACAGGGGCAAGTTCAAACACTTTTATTTACTCTACACACAGCTCATCATCTAATTATTTTACTAACAGCACCAGCACATTGTTAAAAGGACAAAATGTCCTCAGCCAACTAGCCATTTTGACTGTAAATTAGAATGCTAGAATATTTCCCTGTAAATGAACAGTTAGCACACACAAACATGCTTATACACAGGTAGACGCATGCTCTGAGCCAAAAGAAAAAAAGCCTCACAATTGAATATTAAAATGTCAATACAACAACAACAACAATAATAATATTTTTTTATAATTATGAGTGTTATCTCACACTAGCATCACAACAACCGTATAAAACTAATTAACAATAATATTTTATTTTCGTTGTTTTATGCAATTTTTTGTTTTGTTTTTTGTGATGGTGGCGGTGAGATAATCATATTGCTTATATTCACGTCACATGATGCGTCACTTCTAAGGTTTCCTTTTTCTTGTAGGCCTACTGCAAAAAATATTGATTGATGCCAAGAATTAACGGAAAGGTACATTAATTAACTAATCTGTTAGACTTGACTGTAACTAGTTGGTTTCATAAACCTAACACCGCAGAGACAGTCGTGATTAGCTGTAGGCTAAAAAAAAAAAAGATTCTTTTTTTTCTCTGTCTCTTTTTTTAGTCTTAATCATTCGAATCAAACAAATCTAAAATATATTGCTGATGGATTTTATCAGCATCATTCAAATCTGCGGATTTTATCAGAATAAATACAAATGATCGACCTTAGGTTTTCATAAGAATAGGTTTCAATAAGTATAAGCAACTATAGAGGAGACATTAATTGGCCTGTTTGTGTCTTTGTGTTTATTTGCGTGTTTAAATATGGTAGGCTATATCTGAATTTATTTAAAGGATTGTCTCGGTGAGAAAGGCGTGCAAGACAACATGGAGAATGCAATTAATTTTATTAGCTGTTTACGAGTAACTGAAAACCTAATTAACATGTGAATTAAAAATTAAGCAATTAAATACGAATAAGAAACGGAAATGTATAGACTATGTTGTATAAAAATAGGCCTACTACAGACCGACGAAAAAGTTTGACGAAACTTCTATTTAGAATGTTTGTTACGTTACTCTAAATATTGTTATATTTATCGAGGAAATCTCTTTAAAAATAATTGGAATGATTCGAGTTTTGTCAAGTAAACTGGTCGTTACTATTTTCATGTGCGTTTTATTCCTATTCACTATTTTAACAATGAGATTAAAACAAAAAGAAAAAAACTACAAATAAATGTTCTTTGGTTAAAATTAAGTATAGCTATAGAAAGGCTTTGGTGTCGTGCTCTTTCAGTCGCAATCTAATGCCCTCTACTTCACACACTATGAATGGGTCCGTGGTTGTGTATGAGTGTGTATGAGTGTGTTTGTGTGTATAGACCATATAGGCTAATACGATAACAGTACAAATATTAAAATAAGAATATCTTAATATTTGTAGCTACCTGTGTAACTTGTCCCTCGTGTAAAATCTCTCTCTTTCTCTAACGGACGTCCTACATGGGGGAGAAAGAAGCAAAAAGAGAACAACGTGAGAAAAAAACATTTGTGTCTGATTTTTTTTACTTTAGAAATAGGCTACCTTTCCGACCGAGTGTTACAGAGGTGTATAGTACATTTTGGAATGATATAGCCCAGCTATAACACAGTCCGCATGAGCAACAGAGATATGTGAGGTAGACCACACCTTAACGTCCGCGATGGGCATTTTTAAACGAACCCGATATAGCCTATAACCTATAACAACTTTTTTAAGTGTCAAAAATTTACAATTTCCCTCACATACTTCAGACTGCTGATATCTTACTGCATCAGTGAACATAGTGTGCAATGCAAGAGAGGGGATGAAATTTGTGACACTATGGTCGCACAGTCCATAAGGTTTCAATCCATGAGTGACGCTGGTCATCCTTCGGTCAGTTGTCACAATCTTATTGTTAATATTTTGTAATGTTGTGGGGTGGGGGCATGTAGCTCTACAGAGTCTACCTATATAGGCTACATGTCTGTGTAATATTTTATAAACCGATACAATCAAAACTTATATAAAACTTAATAAATTATAACACGCCTCAGTGTTCATATAAGATAAAGGTGACCGAGAGAAACGCGCGTGAAAGAGGCACGTGGAGAGCAGATATTCGGCCTTGTGATAAATCTGAACGCTGGCCATCAGGATTAGACACGTCATGCGCACAGGCCTCTTTCTCATAAACACCACACAATACAAATTACAGTCATTCAAGCCAAGGTTTTTAGAAACAATTCTTGAGTGTATCTGCAAGGTACTTGTTCTGTAAATACACATTATAGCTTTCCTGCGTCATGTAGTTTGAATGAACCAGACGAACGAATTGTTTCTGTTATTCTTGTTTTATTCTGTGGCTTAATGATAAAAGAAGATTCAGTCAAAACTCATAAAATAAACCACGAGCTTTCCCGCACTACCTGTTTATCACAAAACTGGTAAATATTCTAAATGAAGGCTTTTAATTCAAACATAAAGCTCACTGCTGTAACTCTATAATTTCTCATTTAAAAATCCATTTGACGCTGATGTTTACAGACCAAAGATATGTGAATAATAATAAAATAAATAAATTCCAAAAAGCACCGACTTATTAATTGCCAGCAATTTACAAATTAGAGTAGGGGGTCCAAATACAGACTTATGAGTTGAGTCTTCTGAAAGAGAATCCGTATAACGAATTCCTAACCTTCAAACCATCTACTGGCTTCTTTCTATGAAAATGAGATGACTACCGATACGATACTATTGACTATTTTCCGTTAATTGCGTCCAAGAAGGATGCACGCGCCCTGATCACCTCTAACAGCAGCGCGTCTCGAGCGCCAAACCCTACAAGGACCGCTACACGCGCAACCTGTTCTGGGACTTATTTCAATCAGTTCTCCCTTCACCCTTAAAAAACCAAAACACGACTGCAGAATTCATGCAGTGGCTTTATGAATGCATTCTACAATACAGACGTAAATATTAGCGTATACTCACTCCTATCCACGAGCATCGACGATCTTTAGGACGGATCGCAATGATAAATGTGCGCGTGCCAGCTGCATGCACTCCAGAATGTTGTCTAGCGCTTTGGTCCTCCGCTTCATGGCTGCGGCTCTGCGTGACGTTGCAGTGGCCCCATCCATTCAGCGTCTCCGTATCGGGCTGCACGCAGTCTTTTCACCCATATTTCCCATTGAGATGCTCCTCTCCTCCCCTACAGAGAGTGAAATGAGCTGCTCGTTGTCCCCCCTCTTATCATTCCGCGTATTAAACGCTTGTGGGCCTCAACCTGCAAGCCAAAAAACATATAGCATATTTTAAGCCCTCCCCTTATGACACGTTGCGGGTACAATTTGTCCCCACCCTCTTGAATTAGCAATGCAAGGCTTTTTAAATGTAAGGAGAAGCATTTTAATTTGCGCTCTTTTGTTAACAATTATAATAGTAGGCTAAGTTGTCTCTAAGTGTTCTTGCGCTAGACATTATAACATTTATAATGAATATAATGTAGATTATAACTGACATGCAATGACTAAGTTTTTTTAGTTTCATACACTCGAATAAGAATATTTGCTGTGTAAATGCCTACACGTTCACTATGTGGAGTTTCTATATCTGAGCCTCAGTAAGGCCTTGATTGTTGTGGTGCAGTGGTGAAATAAGTGCCTTTTGTAGAAGAACTAAGAACACTTTGACTTAGAGACTCCTTTAACTGTAACCCACCGTCTAAATCAAGTGCACTCGCTCCCAGCAACCCTTTGTCTTTGGCTTTTTCTCTGTAAGTGTCTAGGAATGTGACCACTGAATCGGCAGGGTGAAACCGTGCAAATCAGCTTTAACCGTCAGGACCGAGAGTAGACCCCAGACAAGGGGGCAGAACGGGGTCTTGGTCGGTTGATTATCATAAGAATCAGATCGCTGGGGATAAAAATCTCCTTTGAATAAATTACCGGTTCAATAGGAGGCGCGACTGCCAAATAGACAACTCTGTCAGAGGCCGCTGGTCTTGGTTTTTCCATTAGTCGTCTGAGTCCCCTTTTCTGAAAGCTCAGACTCTTAATGCATTCCC